TATAGTTGGTCTTTGTCCCTAGTTCCTGACACAGAGCACCTAAATCCCTTGGAATTTCCTGGGTGACAGGAGCACCTTTTGTTCTAATATGACAACGTTTGGCTTGGCAAGCCCCTAGATAGTAGCTTCAGGATGGAAGCTGGTTTCCAGAAAGATCAAACCTTGTTAAGAAGCCTGGAACTTTCATTTCTTTCCTATCCCTCCCCCACCCCCCACCGCCCAACCTCAGAAGAAGGGAAAAGCGCTGGAGATTGAGTTAATAATCAATCATGCTTATGTGATGAAACCTCCATAAAAACCCCTAAACAATGGAGTACAGAAAGCGTCTGAGTTGGCAAACACATCCACATGCTAGGAGGGTGGCATACTCCAGTTCCACGGGGAAAGAAGCTCCTGCGTTTGGGACCCATCCAGACCTTGCCCTATGTGCCTCCTCATCCTGCTGTTCATTTCTATTTTTCTTGTCAAATATTAGCTGACAAAAAAAAAAAAATTAGCTGACATCCAGGCTCCCAATTCTGTCCCATTGGTCCATGTGTCTGCGTTTAGGCCAGTACCATATTGTTTTGATTACTATAGCTTTGTAATCTACTTTGAAATAAGGAACTCTGATATCTCCTGCTTCGTTCTCCTCATTGAGGATTGCTTTGGCTGTTGGTTGCTATGCCACAACCTTTATGAAAGGAAATGTGACAGTAATGAGCAAGATTACATGTATTTTCACCCTGTATTCAGCAATAGAACATCTAGGGATCGATTTCAAAGATATATTGATAAATATTGCTGAAGATTATGTCACAACTCTATTCATTGTGGTTGTAATTCGTAATAGCCAGAATAGAAACAAAGTGTGTATCCATAGAAGATTAGCTGCCTAAATTAGGGTACCTTCACACAATGGCATACTCTATAGCTGTTGAAAGGAGTGGGGGATGACTCTATGAGGCATCTTGAGAGCACTATGGAGTGGTCTCAAGGATATTGTTTTTTCAGCTTTACTGAGGTATAATTTGCATACCAAAAAACCTGTACATAGTAATGTGTACAGTTTCATGAGTTTGGGCATATGCACACATCCGTGTAACCATCTCCATGATCAAGGTAATAAACATATCCATCACCTCCAGAAGTTTTTCTGTGTGCCTTCGTTATTTTGTGTGTTTGTTTGTTTTGTTTCGTTTTGTTTTTTTGGTTTTTTTTTTTTTTGGTTTGGTTTTTGCTTTCTTGCGGTAAGAAAACTTAACATGAGATTTACCCTCTTAACATATTTTTAAGTGGACAATACCTCTTATACATAGCATCGACTATAGTCAAACTCATGGGAACAGACAATAGAAGGGTGGTTGCCAGGGGATGGGGGGAAGGGGAATATGGAGAGCTGTTGTTTAATGGGTATAAAATTATAGTTATTCAAGGTGAGTATGTTCTAGAGATCTACTGTATAACATAGTGCCTATACACAACAATGAGGGTATGTTTTTAAGTGAGAAAGGCAAAGTGGAAGAGTTTACATAGATTATGCAGCATTTATCTAAGGAGGAGGGAATATATTGAATGTCTGTCTCTCTGATGAGAGATACAGATCTGATGGCCAGGTAATACCAGTTGCCCCATTCCTTTAGCCTTTAAGGAATCTGTTGAATACACCCCTGCATGAATTTTGCTTATCCTGGTGTCCCCACTCCCCACACCCCTGCATGAATTTTGCTTATCCTGGTGTCCCCACTCCCCACCTTTACCCATGTTGGCTGTCTCCAAGAACACACGTTTGCCCACAAGCACTTTTGACAATTTGTTCTGCTCAATATTTGTTCCAGATTGTTCCATTTTTCAAGAATAATTAATACTTTCCCTATCTGTTAAGCTGTTCTTGGCCAGAAACCAGAGGTATCAGGCCTTGATGGCCCTGCAGTGTTCGTGTGACCTACTGTGGAAGAGGTGCCTCTCTGGGCAAGGGTTAAAAGCAGTGGAATGTTGGAGGGGACTCTTACTAGAACATAAGAGCCAACTTAATTTTTCAGGAATTTTGTGAGCCAGCTGTTGAGCACAGCTGTTTTAAAGACTAAATTATATAAAGTAGCAATTACGTTACATGCATTATACTGAAAACAAACAAAATATACACTCAAAACTCATCAATCTCTAATTATTTTTCCTACATTTTGCTATTACCTATGTTCTTGAGGTTATGTACATTGATTGTACCTGCATGGTGGGAATGCATCTCTTCCCAACTCTGCATTAATTGGCACGACGTCAGGAGCTGGAAATTGGCAAATGCCACAACACAGGGCATTTCCCCCAACCCACCCCCTCTCCCAGAGAGCCTGTTGTTAAACACTTACACGCATACCACTGGTTGAAATTGATCCACTCTGCAGATGCTCTCATGTGGTGGATATCCTCAGATCCAACCAATGCTGTTGTAAAACACATGAGAGTCAAGCCTTAACTTACACTAGTCTACAAAGTGATGTTTTGAAACTGTGAACTGGAGTAGTGCTCGAAGGAAAAAAAAAAAAAAGGTTGGATATTTAACATTTATGACAAAGTCCTAAGATGCCCATAATATGCCACCCGGAAGAGACTTTTTAAAAAGGTATAGAGCAGGGCGTCTGGGTGGCTCAGTCGGTTAAGCGTCTGCCTTCGGCTCAGGTCATGGTCCCAGGGTCCTGGGATAGAGGCCCGCATCGGGCTCCTAGCTCGGTGGGAGCCTGCTTCTCCCTCTCCCTCGGCCTGCCGCTCCTTCTGCTTGTGCTCGCTCACGCACTCTCTCTGTCCATCAAATAAATAAAATCTTTAAAAATAAATAAATAAATAAAAAGGTATAGAGCAGTGTGCGTACACGCATGTGCTTGCGTGCGTGCATTTGTGTGGGGAGGTGGGGGCTGATGCATCAACATCAGGTCTAAAAGGTTCTGCCATAGGAGGGCAGGTGGGACTCAGAAAAATGAAAGGGTCCAGGGCAAAGGGGCTCACTCCTTCTCCCAGTCTCCATCACTTCATTTCTCTTTTCCTCCCTCTTCTCCTGCCACATCCTTTAACTCTAAATGTACTTTCTCTTTTACCAACTCAGCAGTGGGACCGTGGTGCACCTGGGACACAGTTGCACAGCAGGGTTTTAGTCCTTTTTCAGGCAACACTGCTTCCTCCCTCAGTGAATATGTGGGTTTGTTTATCTAATATCTGGGAGAGGAGGGGTTTTGGGATCACTGATTTAAGTAGCAAATGAGGGAAGGGAGGAAAGCATGAGATGGATGTCAGTCTTGCCCTATGGGCCGAGTGATTCGCATGGTTATCTGGCATTAGCAAAAGACGATAAGAAGCCTGACTTCTTAAGGCCTGAAACAAGAAAGCATAAGTTGTCATCAGATGTCATCACCATCAGTCATCTTGGGTACGAATGAGGGAGGCAAGGCAGGAAGGAGAAAACATGATGGGAAATAGGGCATAGCCAATTGAGCTTTCTGTCTTCGGGGCAGGGTCTCCAGTTCTTCCTTTGTGTGGAACATCAGCAGAGGACTGAGAAACAATGGCTGGTAAGATCTGATCCACGACTACATATTGCTACCTTGAGTACAAAACAGAGAGACTGTTTTTCAAAGACTCTTCTGACTGGATGTCTGCCGTTTCAATGTGGAACCTTTCACTCAGCAGTTGAGATAGAGACAGAGATAGATCATTTTTTAGAAGGTAAATTATTAGTTAATTTACGGCCTGACAGAGAAGGGAGTCTTCCCCATCCATCGTTGGCCAAAAATTTCCCCTGAAACACTTGTGGTGCAAGAGGGTGGTATTAATGCTTAGCTCAGAGAGCTACTGTGAGGCTCTGTGTGTTTAGCATAGAGGGGGCACAAAATAAATGCATGGTAATGATGCGTCCTCATATTTCACAGGTCCGTTCAAAGTAGGCTCTGGGTCTAATTCACCTCCCCTCTTTGATTCTTCTGGCCCCGATTGGCTTCAGCGTCTCCCACTGTAAAATACACATTGGACTCGAATCCAGCTGGCATTCACTTGGCCATGTGTTGGCCTGACTGGATGTTTTCTTTGGCCCACCTGTCCAGGTCTTAAAGAGGAAACCAGAGCCAACATGTTAAAATGGAGGTATTCTACATAGATATCTAGAATTCCCTTTTCCTCTTGAAAAATCAGGAGATGTGGCAGTGCAGAGTCCACATTCCTGCATGGCAGCAATCGGCTGGAGCCAGGTGGCAGCTGGCCCCTTAGGTAGAGCATGCACTGCGAGTTGGCCAGAGCCTGTCTGGACTGCTCCACTCATTTATAGGACCTGCTTGACCCTGCAGACAACTCAATTTGGGGCCCTCCGGACAGCTGGAAACAGTCTATGCCAGGCAGAAGGTAGGCACTTACTTGGTCAATGAGTAAAACGCCTACCCCTCTTTATCTCTCCCATTTTCTTGTCTAGTGGTGTTAAGAAATCCCAGTTATTGCGTAAGGTGAGTCTCACTTTGGAAAGTAAAGTGAACAAGTCTGTTAGAGTCAGGATGGTCTATGTTATACTGCGGTAACAACTCCTCTATCTCACTGCCTTACAACAGCGAGGGTTTATTATTTGTTCACACACATCAATCCAGACATGAAATGAACACACCCTTCTATTTTGACAAGCATGGATACATACGTGAGTGCACGGCTATGTTTGCAATCACAAGTCAAAAGAAAACTCTGGCATATGAACATAGGACCTCCCACAGAACCCTATTTAGAGACTGATCAGCTCAGATTGCACAACCCTGTTTTTCTAAGAGACATAAAAAGGCCCCAATATCCAAGGCAGTAAGGGATGGAGGTACAAGGATATCCACCCTCAGCCAAGGAATTGCCCCATATAATAAAAAGGGTCTGAAAAGCTTGTAAAAGAACCTGAAGGTTAAAAAAAAAAAAAAAGAACATGTTAAGCATATTGGATATTAAACATTTTGCAAATGCATAAATAGGCAACACTCTAGTGAGGCCTCCTCTTCTGGGCTTCTAGCTCAAAGGGAGATGCACCCCAGATGTCCCATAGGCAGAGAAATGGAGCTGGCTGGCCTGGGTCGCAGAGAGGGGCTAGGAGGCTGGGGTCCTGTATCTCCAGCAGGAGCTGCACATAGAAAGGAAGGCATCAGAGCCAGGTCACATCCATTTCCCCTCCAGGCTCTCCCCTCTCTTCTGTTCCACCCAGTCGAGGCTTTGTCACCTGGACTACACACTGCAGCACAGAACCCTTCCTCGCTGATTTGCTCATCTTGGGTCTTGCCTCCTCCGATCCCTCCGTCAAAGCCACCACATTTCTTTTTGTGGAGCCCAGGCTCTTTGCATATGCTCCTCCCTAGCTCACACATTCCCTGGCTCCTCACCACCCACAGTTTCTGGTCTAGCCCCTCAGCCTTTTGTTCTGGCAAAGCCCAGCCTTCCCTCTCAGCCTTCCCAGGCATGTAGCTGTCCTCAGACTTCCTCTGGTCCTTCCACTCCAGGCTCATCTATTGAAATTTAGCCACAAAACACAAGGGAAGTATGAAGGCATCCAGGTCCACATGGAGACTGGAAATCAGCCTGGGCTCTTATCACCTATGTATATCCTGCCCACCACAGCAGACTGCAGGGGTGTGGGTAGAAAGCTCTGGGCTGAGAACGAGGAGAACTGGGTGTTCCACCTGATAGGCTGCATGCCCCAGTGCACGTCGCTGCCACTCGCAGGGCCTCAGTTTCCTCGTTTCTTGACGCCAGGGCCCTGGGCATTTGCTGTTGAGCACTGAACTCGATAAACTGATGATTCACCATCATCAACCATCGACTGCCATCTCTGGCATCAGACCGAGGAGCTTGGGTGCCTGGGCCCAAGGCGGTTCAGCCCACTAACCCTGGCCTCCCAGTTAGGCCCTGCTTACGACAACGCCCTCCCATTTGCCAACCCTCCCCACCACCCCGTGTTCTCCTTTCAAGGACCAGGCTACCTGCCGCCGCGGAGGGTTGCAGCAGGGAGACGGAGCCAGAAGACGCCTGGGGAGAGTCTCTCAGAATCAGCAGAGCCTCGGCCGCTTCCAGCTTCCGCTGCCACTCTGAGGCAGAAACCGAGTCCTGGTCAGAAGCTTCAGGAGCCTGCAATGGAAAGGGTGTGAGAGAATGGGACCTGAAAAGCCATGCCTCCCCACCTCATGGGGCCAGTAGCCCTTTAGTCCCGGGTTCCGCTGAGGGCCCCACCCACGCACCCAGAGTGGGCACCAGTGGGGACTTCAGCTCTTCCCAGTCACTAAGCTTGGCCCCTGGCAGGGTTCTGGACCCTGCTCTTTCCCCAGGATCTGTGGCTGCAGGAGGACAGGGCCAAGGACGGATGGCACAGGGCTGGAGGACCAGCGCTGAGCATCTAGAAACAAGGAAAAGAGAGGCCAGGGGATTCAACCCTCTGACAGACACATACTATCAATAGAGAAACAGGGCCAGGATCTTGCAATATCTGGATGTGGGGTTCTGAATGCCGGCGGGCCATCAACCGTTGTGGCTTGCACAAGTCCTTTCCCCTGTTTGGTCTGTTTTCCTTTCTATGTCCTTCTTCACTCTCTCTCCCGAGATGCTAATTCCTGCCGGCATTTCCAAAACTCCCAGGGCAACGGTGACGATTGTGGGGAATCCCAGGTGTCTGTGTTCTAATCTGCAAAGCACCCTGAGAAGTGGGATCACGGTCCCCGTCCAGGGACTGGTTCTCACCTCCATATTCCCCATGGAGCTTGAAGGACCAGCTTGGCTCATCTAATAGCCTGGAAGCTGGGGCGCCTGGGTGGCTCAGTCGTTAAGCGTCTGCCTTCGGCTCAGGTCATGATCCCAGGGTCCTGGGATCGGGCCCCACATCGGGCTCCCTGCTCAGCGGGAAGCCTGCTTCTCCCTCTCCCACTCCCTCTGCTTGTGTTCCCTCTTTCGCTGTGTCTCTCTGTCAAATAAATAAAATCTTAAAAAAATAAATAAATAATAGCCTGGAAGCTTTCTCTAATGACCTCTGGACTCTGCCCCTGGGCCCCGTGGCCCTCACCATCTTGGCACGTCCCCCCCTTTTCAACAGGACCTTCTATCCCATCCATCTGTTTCATGTGGAATAACGGCCTCCGTTAGTTGAAGTCCTGCTACGTGGCACGCCTTGGCCTAGTCAGTGCTTGTAAGTGTGGGATATCGTCCCCATCAGCACACTGCTAGTACACACGGGAAATGGAGGCTTGGAAATGTAATGTCACGTGTGCAAAGTCTCACAGATAGGCAACGGCAAGGCTGGGAGAGGCCTGTCCTTGCCCGCTAGTCTGAGATGCTGCCTTCTCCACTCCTCCTCCTCCTCCCCCGACCCCTCCTGCCCCTGCCGCTTCTTGTCCTGCTCCTCTCCTCCCCCTCCTCCTCCTCCTCCTCCTCCTCATCGGCCGCCTCCTCCACTCCCTCCTTCTGTCTCCCACGGCATCAAGCACAAAGGTTGGGCACCTGGTAACACAATATACAACTAGCTCCATGTGCCTTCTCACTTTACTCACATGCTGGGCAGGGCAGGAGTCCTGTGGGGCTTCCTGGAAAGAGAAATTGTTCGTTGCATCTTCAAGGCTGCTGGAGTCCAGGACAGAGACAAAGAATTTGGGGCATGACCAGTCAGCAGAGCTCCTTGGGCGCTTGCCTGGAGGAGCAGAGAGCACAGGGTGGAGTCAGGCACCAGGCCGGCCATGGAGAGGAGATATGTATGGGTATGTTCTGGGATGAGGATAGGAGCCCAGAACGTCAGAGCTGAGCAGACCTGGAAGACCAGCCAGTTCCTACTCTTCATTTTCCACGTGGTGAAATTGAGGCCCAGGGAGGACAAGTATTATTTCCCCAAGGTCATATGGCAAGCTGCAGTAGGGTTAGGGAGGGAACCCATGTCTTCAGGACACAGAGAAGAGTCTGGGCTGTGAGTGAGATGGGAACCTCCCCCACAGGCCCCAGGCTCTCCTTACCTCCCTGGGGGTTGCACGGGGGTGGGTGGGCCTCAAGCTGGGACATGATGTTCTCCTTCCCAGCTGTGGAAACTTGGGGACACTTTAGGTGAGCCTTTCCCCCTGAACCCACCCCACTCTTCCTCACCCCCAGTCTGAGGTCTCATCTCACCGTGGACCATTTTGACCCGCCAGATCTCTCCTTCCCACCAACACTTGGTAGATAATGTTGATGACGTCTATTAGGTGGGGCAGCTAAAGGCCCGAGGAGTAATTTGCCAAGGCCACATCAAAACTGGGTAGTAGGACTGGTGACAGAACTGCTCAAAGCTCCCTACCCCCAAACCCAGACGCCCTCCCTGGCCAGAGACACTCACTGAGGGCTCCTGCTTGAATGGTCAACTTCTTGACATGGCTGTGAGCTTTGGGAGGGGAGGCCTCACTCCTTGTCAGTCCTTGAGCCAGGTGCCTCTTCAGGTGTGCCCCCTGCTCCCTCTTCAAGGCACTCTCAGCAAGCAAGACACTGTGGTGTTCCCTAAAGTGGGGGATTACAGGTCAACAGTCAGTCACATTTAGGGGAGGCCCACTCCCCATACCCACACCCCCTGTCAGACACCATACTCACGAGAAGAAGGCACACGTGGGACAATCGCAGGCCTGGAAGAGGCAGAGGTGCTCCTGGTCCTTGATTTGGTCAGTGAAGCCGTGGTTGTAGCAGCGGGCACAGCGACTTACAGCTCTTTTAGGGCCAAGTTCAATCCCCCACGGGGCTCCGGTCTCAAGCCCAGTGGGGGAGTCGGAGGGGCAGCAGGGCACAGCAGGCATTTCATTGGGATCCATGGTTCTAGGGCCAGGAGTGGAGGTCAGGATGGCCACATGATCCCCTACCCTCAACGTACTTCCTCTGCCCTTTGAAAACCCCACCTGAGGTGCCTGGATTCTTCTTCACCCAGCTCACCGCTGAAATCACATCGCACCCACCCTTCTCACTCACGTAGCCTCCTTCCCAGGAAGCCCCACTCACGCATAGCCCCATTCCAAGAACTCTTGGCATGGTTCCTGTAAACTTTCAATCCAACTGCTAATCTCCTTGCTTACCTTCCCTCTACATAGAACCCATTTTCAGGCATACGCATGCACTCCTGTGCCCCCTTCCACAATTACTGCCCTCCCCTTCTCGTGGATCATCCTGTACTCTGCCATACCTCACTGTTTTCCCTGCCATCCACTTCCACAATTATCTTCCTAACCTCCTGCCTTCATTCCCTCCCTATTCATGATTTTGGCTGCGCCCCCCCCCCACTCAATTCTATTATTAGTATGTCCTACATTCAACTTTCCTCTCACACCCCATTCTGATTTTCTTCCTGCACTCCACTGTAAGCTTAATTTTTCTCTCAGCAAACCCCCACTACTTTAAGCTGACAACCCCTTTGTACCCCATGAAATTTGATTATGCTGCTGGATGCCAAGCCCCTCTTTCAATAATGATTTTTATTCATCCCTTCGATTGTTCATTGACTAGACCCTTGTTGAGCCCCCTATCGAATGCCAGACCCTGATCTAGTCAACAGCCGACCCCTCACCACACTAATTGTTTTCTTCCGCCAACAGAACCCTCTCTGCTCTCATGCAAACCCATGTATTCCCTGCCCAGCCCCCAACAGTCTTCCATGCTCCTCTTCACACTTCAACGGTTATGTTTGGGTACACCTTCCCCGTCCCTCACATCTGGGGTGCACCACCTCATCTCAGGCAGCCCATTCGCAGCCACTACCACATCAGAATCAAAGGATCAAAGGCAGGGGCATGAGCCCTGCCTCAGGTTCCAGAGGCCAGGGGTCAGGGGGCTGAGGTGAGGGTTTCCTCCCACAGGTTGTTGCTTGGTGGGGGGCGGGGAGGGGGGGAGAGGGGACGGGGCAGAGTGGGACATCAGGAGGTACTCCACTGAGGTGGAGGAGAGGAGAAGGAGTTGGTCATCCAGAGCAGGAGGGAGGGAGGAAAGAAGATGTGTGGAGAACGAGGGTCCTATTCCTGATGCCAGCTTGTGCTTACCTCAGCCGCCCGCAAGTCGAGATCCAACAGCAGGAACAGAAGGTGGGAGGGAAGACCCAGCTCTCTCTCCCTTTCCCGCCCTTCCCACAAAGGCCAATGAGCTTCCAGCGCTGCCTTCCTCCTCCCACGGCTGTGGCCGGTGACCAATGAGCTTCGAGTTCCGCCAAGTTCACCCACCAAAGTCCCGCCCCTCTCGCCTCCCTCCCACTTCTCCGTGTGCTGGCTTTACTAAGCCAGTCAGTAACTCGTGAAGTGAGGTGAAGCGAAACTTTGTGCTCCCTAAACCTTGTTTCCCAGACTTTTCTCTCTTGGGATGTGAAATATTATATGTGCATGCATATTTAACTCATGTCCTTGATATCCTGTAACTTACTCTTACGAAATTCCGCATGTGTTTTTAAGATTCATCCAGGGGCGCCTGGGTGGCTCAGTTGGTTAAGCGACTGCCTTCGGCTCAGGTCATGATCCTGGAGTCCCAGGATTGAGTCCCGCATCGGGCTCCCTGCTCTGCGGGGAGCCTGCTTCTCCCTCTCCCACTCCCCCTGCTTATGTTCCCTCTCTCGCTGTGTCTCTCTCTGTCAAATAAATAAATAAAATCTTTTAAAAAAAATTAAAAAGAAAAGATTCATCCATATTCCTACGTCAGGGATTGTCAATCAGGGGGGCAATTCTACACCCCCAGGGAACATTTGGCAGTGCCTGGAGTCATTTTGGTCCATCTTTGCCGTGTCTCTGTGTCTGAGCTCCCTCTTCGGTTCCACAGATAAATTTGTCTATTCCTGTGCTGATACTACACCATCTTCATTTTTACCTCTTGATAAGAAGACATCTTGATCTATGGTAGGGCAAGTCCCCACATCTTATTCATAATCTTCAAACATATCTTCCTTATTCTTCACCTTTTGCCCTTCCAGTATAAGCGTCAGAATCAGCATGTCACGATCCTGGAAAACTCATTTGCAACAGATTGGGGCTGCATTTTCATTAAATCTGTGGATAAGTTCCGGGAGAATTGACCATCTTTAGGACCCCACCCAGCCCTCCTAGTCACCAACATGGCATATCTCTCCGTTTATGTGGGGCTTCCTTAACGTTTCCATCTTCAGTTCAGTATTTAGTTTTATCTTTTGTACATTCAGATCTTGTACATCTTTTCTTGCATTTATCCCAAGATACTCTAGAGTGTTGTTGCTCTTGTGCGTGTTATCCACCTAAAATGACATTTTCTAATTGTATCTAACTTACAGAAATCCATTTGACTTTTTAAAAACTATATTGACCTTAAAGTCAGCCTCCCTGCTAAACCCTGTGATATCGAACCATTTGTCTTTGGACGTTCTGCAGTTTTTCATGGATCTGTGACTTACAGAAGCACAATAAGCGATTTACAGGTTTCTTAAACCTGTACTGGCTGCCCAGGGCATCCACTACAAGGTCAAACAGACATGACCAAATTCGACCTCTTTGGGTTGTCCCTAATATTAAATAGAATGCTGCCAACATTTCCATAATAAAATGTGTTTCCTGGGGTTCACTCTTTCCTTCCTCCTTGACTTCCTCCCTTCCTTCCTTCATTCCTCCCTCCCTCTCTCCCTCTGTTCCTTCCTTCTTTCCTTCATTCCTTCCTTCCTTTTCTTGTTTCCTCTTCCTTTCTTCCTTTCTCTCCTTTCTTTCTTTCTTCTTAATTTCTTTCTTCTTTCTTTTTTCTTTCTTTCTTCTTTCTTTCTTTGCCTCTATAAGACTAAGGAGTTTTCCATTTATTTCCAGTTTAAGAAGTTTGTCTTAAAAATCATGAATAGATATTGAATTTCACTTTTTTGTCTCTATTGAAATGATCAAGAGTCTGTTTAGTTTGTTAATACAGTGTTATTTGTAGATGCTTTTTTCAAAATATTTAATGAAGTTTACAATCACAAAAAGACAAAATTCACAAGTGTGTATCTTAATGAGTTTTCAAAAATTAAACATACACATTCAGTTAGCACCTAGAGCAAGCAACAGAATATGTTGGCAACACACAAACCTCTCTCATGCCCCCTCCTATCTATCTATCTATCTATCTATCTATCTATCTATCTATCTATCTATACTAATGTGAAGCCAGCTTTGCTCTCGTAGGATAAATGCAACTTCGTTATGGTGGATCATCTTTTGTAGTTTGCTAAAATTTTGCTTAGGATTTTTACATCTTCTGCTCATGAGCAAGATCGACTTGAAGTCCCTCTTTCTCATACTAACCTTGCTGGTTCCAGTGTCAAGGTTTTCTAGTCTCATAGGCCGAGTTGGGGAACAGTTTCTCTTTTCTATCCTCTGGAAGTTTTTGTATAACATTGGGATTGTCTGTCTTGAGACTTTATTAAAACTTGACCACTAAACAGCTGACGTACCTGTTTTCTTCATTTTTTCCCTTAAATTGTACTGTGGATAACTTCAAACATATACAAACAGGGTTTGCATATAAACTTACAATCTCCAGGTTCATCACAATAGAGCTGTGCGCCTGTCCCATTAGCTTGCTTCAGAATCCAACAAAGCCAAAGAGCTTGTGAAAACAGATTGCCGAGCTCCACATCTATAGTCTCAGATTAAAAAATCTGGGGTGGGACCCAGAGTTTGCTTTTCTGACAAGTTCCCTGGTGCTTCAGATGCTGCTCATGGGGGAACCACACTTTGAGAACACTGTACGAGAGAGAATAGTGAGGGAACCTCCAGGTATCCGTCACTGGGCTGCAACGGTTAACAACTCACAGCCAATTTCATTTCATATATATCTTCTCCCCTCCATCTCTTCCAGATTATTTTCAAGAAGATACCAGAAATCATTTTATTTTATTTTATTGTGGAACACTTCATCACATAACTCTAAAATATGAGCAATCCATTTTCCTCAACTACCTATTTGAAAATAGATTCAAAACACACACAGTTGGACAGTGAACATTCTTTCACCTAGATTTCATATCGTCCCATTGCTTTCTCTCTCCTTTTTCTTCTTTTTGCCTAACCACTCAAGTTCCAAACTCTTCATCCAATTACTTTGAAATGCATCTCCTAAGAACTAGGATCTTCTCCTGTCTAACCATATTACTATTGTCACCTTGAAGAAATTTAACAGTGGCATGATAACATTATCTGAGTCCATATACAGTTCATATTCCAATTTCCCCCAGTTGCCCCAATGATATCCTTTTGAGGGTCAACATTTCAATCAAGTATCATACATTGCATTCAGTTGTCATGTCTCTTTAGTATCTTCTAGTCCCAAACAGTCCCTCAACTTAAATCTTCCATGACAATAACATTTGCCAAGAGCCTAGGCCTGTTTGCTTCCAACGTGTCCAACATATGGCTTTGCCTGATATTTTCCTCTCCTTTAGATGATTTCTGTTTCACATTCTTGGCAAGGATATTAAATAGGTGATGCGTAGTTCACATGACATCCCATCTGGAAGCTCCTAAGGTCAGTTTGTCTAGCTGTCGGTGCTGCTATTGGCATGACTCAGTTTGATCACTTATTTACGATATCGTTGGACAGATCAGTCCATTGGAAAGGTACCTTTGTCCGTCTATGACTTACAAGCAGTCTGTAGCATGATATATATATATTTTTTTTAAAAAGAGATTTTATTTATTTGACAGAGAGAGACACAGCAAGAGAGGGAACACCAGCAGGGGGAGTGGGAGAGGGAGAAGCAGGCTTCCGGCTGAGTCAGGGAGCCCAATGTGGGACTCGATCCCAGAACCCTGAGATCATGACCTGAGTCGAAAGCAGACGCTTAACGACT